CCTCACGTTCGAGGAGGTCAGATATGTCGAGGCCGTCGCAGCCTCATGTCCTAACGTTCAGGACGTCGTCATAGCAGGGGCGATTTTGTTCATGCTGTTTGCCTGCGCTCGAGCGAGCGATGCAGCCAGAGCGGTCTCGCTGCACGTGGATTTTTCGGATTCCACGGGATCCACCGTGTGGATCGAAGCAGTCAAGAAGAGCAAGACGGCCATGGGGGCCCGTTCCCGCCTGCTTCTGCCCTTGCTGCCGTGCGTCATTTTCGACGAGATCTGGGTGGGACATTGGATGGAAGCGCGTGAGCACCTAGGCCTCGGCGTCTCGGGGGACATTGACATCGGCTCAATGGTGCCACTTTTTGACGAAACCGGCGCGTGGTCCGGTCGACCTATGGCCTGGCTTCGAGCCGTGCTCGGCAAGGACTTTCCAGAGGCCACCCGGCTCAGTAGCCACAGCCTGAAGGCGACCGGGCTTAGCTGGGCGGCGTCCGCCGGGGTCCCGCTAGACACCTTGCGCACCATGTGCACGACGGTGCGCGTAGCACGGAAACAGAAAGCCGAGACGTTCTCGCGCCGGCCGCACGCGTTTTCGAGGAGGTGCTTTTGGCCATCCGAGCCGGCGACTTCGCTCCAGACAATCCTTGAGGGAGTCAGTTCGCGGGCAAGAACAACACCTTGCGCCTGTCGGCAGAGCCACCCGTGGTGGAGGAGGAAGTCTTCGTCAGGCCCAGGAAACCGACAGCACAGGAGTGGCCGCTGGCTGATGAGCCGGACGTTCCGGAGGCAAAAGCTCACCTCTCAGACACTGACGACAGCGCATCAGAGAGGGATGGTGAGGACGATATGCCGCTGGACCCACCCCTGCCTCAGCATCGTGAAAGGCGCCCGGCTGTCGCCTCTTTACCCTCATGGTGCACCTCGTGGATGCATATGCCTGCGCGTTGCAGGCGGCCCCCACGGGGAGGAGCGCCTGCTGTGTGGTCGCAAACGCTCTGACGTTCAGGAGCTTGACGCGAGGGGCGCCCCCATTGCAAGTCGCACACCTCGTTGGAGGACTAAAAAGGGGCGCTTGCTGTCTGCGTTGAGCTGCGTCATGTTGTTTTTGTGGTGGTTATTTCGCACCTGTCAGGTACTATGGCGAGCCTCGTCGACTCGAAGGCGGAGTTCGAGAGGAGGACGAAGGAACTCCTGGGGGACGCGTCCGTCCCCAAGATGCAGAAGGAAAATATCGAGCGTTTCGCCACGTTGGCGTACGCGGTGGCGGACCAGCCGAACCACATAGACGAGAAGAAGCTGGACGCCCTGGCGCGCGCCTGACGCGCCCACGTTGGGTCAGACGGGGGCTCTTAAACGCCTCTGTTTCGAAGGGCTGACGTTCAGCCTGCAGGATCTTAAGAACCGAGGCGACCCTGAAGGGTCCTCGGTCAAGCCATTGCCCGCGCACGAGCGTGAACACCGCAGGACACAGCAAGTGCAGCGTCTGCGCGGAGTGCTCATGGAAGGCGAGCTCGAGCCAGGAAACAGCCTGGTCGACAAAGCAGCAGCCATGCTGCAAGACGGCGTCGTACGATACATTCCGCCGTCCGCCTGCGTCAGCCGCGACTCCGAGGTGGCCTCCGTGAGGAAGGATAAAGATTTTCTCTCCATGGAGAACGGAGAGATAACGCTCAAGAAGAAGGAGTCGTACTTCAACACGGACCTTAGCTCCGAGTATAAGCTTCAGCAGGCTTTTACCAGAAGGGGAATTGCCTTGGACCGGGTGGGCATTCTCAAGTTCGAGGTTCACGAGCGTCTTGTGAGGAACCTGTTCTTTTTGGCCAGCAGGCCGGCCCCGCCTGGATATGATAAGCCCGGCGTAGGGGCAATGATTAAGGCCGATAAAGAGTTTTGGACGCTCGTAGCGCGAGAATGCCGAGACGGCTGCAAGCCAACCGCAGCCGGAACATGCCCTCTGGATTCTCTCGTAGAGAAGCATCAAAACGACAGCGTCGTGGCCTTCTGCCTTTTCTCCTTGCCGTCTCGGGGACGTGAATGGACGCCCGGAAAGGGCAGAGGTGGGGAGCGCAGTAGGACCCCATACAAAGGTAGAGGGAACAAAGGGAAAGGAAGTAAAGGAAAGCCAGGAAAAGGTAAGAAGGGCCAAGGCAGCCGAAACCAGTCCTCGTGGGGCACAGGCAAGCGGCCGTCTATGCCGAAAGAGCTGCGCCATCTGCCCTCCCAGGACGACAAGGGCAGACGTTACTGCTACGGATGGAACCTGATGGAACCTGGAGGAGGGCTGCGACTTGGCCACTTCCGGTACGCCGCTGGAGTGCGAACGCGGCCTTCACCTGTGTATGGTGTGTGGCAGCAAAGAGCACGGTGCGTCCACCTGCCCAGCGAACAAGAAGGCAGAGTGACTAGCACAAGCAAGTGTGGCTGATGACGTTCATCGGCAGCCTCGGGTCGTACCCCGATTTTCGTGGAAGTTTTCTGCGGACTGGCCAGGCTTAGCAAGGCAGCTAGAGAACTTGGTTGTAAGGCCGTGCCAGTGGACCACATTTGCAAGGCCTCCGGCATAAAAGTCATGAAGCTGGACCTCTGCAGCAAAGAGGGACGTTCCCTCCTGAAAGGATTGCTGGAGAACCCAGACGTTTTCTGGGTACACTGGGCCCCGCCGTGCGGGACTTTCAGCAGAGCCAGAGAAATTAAGCGCAGTGGCGCACCCAAGCCACTAAGGAACATGAAGTTCATTAAAGGCTTCCCTGTCCTCCGGTCCATGGCAGACAGGATTCGTGTGCGTAGCGCGAATGCATTAGTCGAACTAATGACGCAGTGGTGCAAGAAGCTGTCCGCCCGTGGCGTGTGTTGGTCGATAGAGAACCCGTCAAACAGCTTGCTCTGGGCGTACCCAGGGTTGCACGATATGGTGCTGCAAGCACACGTTGTGCACTTGCACGCCTGTATGTTCGGTAGTGCCAGAAAGAAAGCCACCGCATTAGTCAGTGACAGATCATGGTTCAGACGTTCTGGCATCGAGTGCTCTGGAGACCATCCCCACGCGTCGTGGGGTAAGACCAAGGCCAAGGGCCGCACCGTGTGGGCAACCAGCACGGAGAGTGCGTACACTCCCGAACTCAGTCACGCATGGGCCTCTTGCGCCGCAACGGCGCTTCTGTGATTTGGAGGCGGCGCCCGCCTCGAAAAAGAGGTCGAGGAAATCCCTCTGCGAGCCAAACTTCGACAACGTGATCACAGTCTTTGCGGAGGAAGCGTCTCCCTTCATGAACATGTTCCCCCCATGCAGGGTCCCACGCAAGTATGGCAAGTGGCCCAAAGGCTCCAAATTGCTCGCTTTGGACGAGTCTGGTCATTCGGCCACGTTGGCCGTGCCCTGTGAGCCGAGCAAATGGTGCCAGCGTGCCAAGCAGCTGGAGCACCCCCGGACAATTTTGAGGCCACTGGGGAAAGCTCTAGAGACGTCGTTAGAAACCGAGCTTCTGCAGGATTCTGCCAAAGCCGGACGTTTCCGCACAGAGGCGTGCAAGGAAATCACACGTATGTGCCAGGACTGCACCTCAGCCGAGGCGGAAGCCAGGTTGGCTCTGGATCGACCCCAGGATTGAGAGAGTTACCGGCACAAAGAAGTCTGTCGCTATGAGACGACTTCTTCTTCAGGTGGGTCACGTTGACCCAGACGTGGCGGACCTCGTCCGAGAAGGTTTCCCTTTGGTAGGATGGCTGCCACGTTCGGGCCTCTGGGATGCGGATTGCGAGCCGCCGTCTTTGTCCGTAGAAGCTCTGACTGCTTCAGCCGAAGACATTTCTTCGCGCAGCGTCAAAGGGGTATGCCGGCGCCGTGACGCCGAGTTAGAGCCCGCCATCTGGGCGGCCACAGTGGAAGAAAGCAGTAAAGGCTGGCTGACGTTCAGTCAAGATGGTTCGGTGCCGGAGAGTCACGTTGTCTCTTCTCGCTTTGGAGTGAAACAAAAGAACAAGATAAGACCCATTGGCAATTTCAAATCCAGTTGCGTCAACGCAGCCTGCGGGGTGCAGGAAAAGGTGGCCATGGACGGCATTGACGAGATCGTGTCCCTTTGTCTGCACTGGCTACGTCGTCGTAAGCCCTTGTCCGCTGAGGACCGCATCCTGGGTCGTACCTGGGACTTGAAGAGCGCATACAAGCAGCTTGCGGTCAAGCGAGAACATAAACGCTTCGCCCTGATTTGCGTGGTGGACCCGGAGTCCAACCGAGTGAGAATCGCTGAGATTCACAGCATGCCCTTCGGGGCAGTGGCGGCCGTGAACGCTTTCCTCCGCTGTGGCCTGGGAATCAAGGCCATAGGCCGAGGCAAGCTTCATCTGGTGATGACAAACTTTTTCGATGATTTTACGGTCCTGGCGTCCAGGGCGAACTGCAAGCATGTGCAACTCGTAGTTAGCTTCCTTTTTCGAAAATTGGGGTGGGACGTAGCCCCCGAAGAGAAAAAGAACGCGCCGTTCGCCGAAGTCTTTGATGTTCTCGGAGTGCGCGTGTACCTGTGCAAACAGCAAGAAGGAAAGGTAAGCATCAAAAATACCCCAGACCGCCTCGCAGAGCTCCAAGCCGACGTTTCGCGCATCCTGGAGAATGGGAGCATCTCCTACGAGGAGTCGCAAAGACTCAGGGGACGTTTCCTCTTTGCTGAGCAGAACGTGTGGGGACGTAACTCCAGACAGGCCATAGTGGCAGTTGGGGACGTTCCCGACACAGAGCAGGGGCCCGTGAAGCTGTCTCATACTCAGGTGGTTCCCAGGCCCACTACGCGTCTGTGGCTGGATGGAGCCTGCGAATGGGATCATGGACAGGAAGCCCCAATTTGCGGCTTTGGAGGAGTCCTCATGATGGAAGGCGGCCCGCCACTCGCGTGGGGTGCCACGCTCAGTCTCATGTCCGCTAAAAAGTGGGCCCACCGTGTGGGCAAA